ACATGTACATATATTTTGATTTAGTGACATGTACATATATTTTGATTTAGGTACATGTACATATATTTTGATTTAGTGACATGTACATATATTTTGATAGATGTTCATTCATATGAATTACTATCAGAACTCAGCATTCTTGTCCATTGGCAGGTCACAATTTTTTAGGTTTGATCAGTGTGACACTAAACTCGTAAAATTTCCTTAGCTGATAGAAATAAGACCTCATAAAGTTCATCTATTTATATACTCATTGAACATATATAATTAATTAGTCCGAATTATTCTGATGTTTTATCGACTTTTTTTATATCGATCTGTCGTCGATATAAAAAAAAGTTGATTAAACGTCAGAATAGCTAGGACTAATAATTAATGAGGTGTTTTGTGCTTACGTAAAAAATTGAGTTATGGATAGAGAATGGAATTAGCGTTGGTTAACGATGATCTTTTCTTATGAATATTGTGCACATGATCGTTATCATCTGTCATAAGCTGGCTATGATATCAATCACAGACAATTATACACATCAAAATGAGGGGAAAAAATATGTTTGTTTCATGTTTTTGTTGCTTATTAACATACATATAAACGTTTTGTATGTTTAGGTAACATTCTGTCACCTATTTGTTATAACCAGCTTACAGAGAGTGTTGTTAGCTGAATGTTACACTGATCTGGAATGTATATGTGAATTACCTACCGCATACTGGTAATGTGTCCGTAGGTATATATTATGTGTCAAACCAGCTTACCTCCTGGCAGATTGAATTTGATTTTTAATTACTTGCCTATAATAATGATACCTTTATTCATTTCCACAGGTAAATGATTTCCCAGAGTTCCTCAGCGGAGAAGAAAGAGAAAATACTCAACATTTGTCTGTGACGTTTTGGACAACGGAAAGTGTTAAAAGGAGATCTTTTAAAAAGGGACGCAAATCTCCACGATTAGGTTCAGTTTCTGATCTCCATGGCGACCGGTCTAATGCATCAACGCCCCTTGGCTATATGTCCCAGGAAAGTACGAACTGGTCAGACGATTATGGGTATGCAACTCAGAGCTTGTCAAGTTTGCAGGTCAGTCGGCCAGACAGTCGTGGGTCTATTGGATCAAACGGCAAACCCACTAGTATCAAGAAGAAAAAGAATCGTCTGGTGCTAGGTGACAGTTCTGATGAAACACTGCTGAAATCTCTGAAGGAGGAGATGGAGGAGGATGGTCTAGAGGACATCGAGGAGAATGATGGCCTCTCCAACTCTTTCTCCTCCTCCCTACAGCGCACCTCGTCCAATAAAAAACGAGAACTACCTGATCCTGCCAATTCCAAAAGTGCATTTACAAATAAGGATAGTGACCAGTCTAGTCAAAAAGGAGTCAGTGGAGAAACTATAAGTCTGTCTGGGTCAGTAAGATCAAATCGTCCTCTCCCACCGATGGTCCCTAAAACCGCGGCTTTTGAAACTCTTGCATCCCCACCATCTCAAACTATTGTTAGTAATTCTAGTGTGGAAAAATCCACTATCAATGTAGGGGTAGATCATAGTGACGATACCAGGGTAATTGGCACTGTGGAAGCTGATGATGAAACACCAACATGCTGTTGCTCAAAACTTTTCTGTTTCAAAAATGGAAAAAATCAAATTTTCCCATTCTGTAGTAAAAAAGATGCAACGCTTGAAGATAGCGTCAAAAATGCTAATATGTTAGATAGTAAAGAATCTTCGTACCCTGAAAAAATCCCCCTTCCTGATATCACACTGGATAGTAGTTCGCACGAGATTTCCGCTCTAGGGTCAAAGGGTCAAAGGGGGTCTGTTCCATCCTTGCATGAAGCCACTCGGTCCCGCCGTTCCTCTATCACCAGTAACCTGCGACCTCCGTCGCGGTCCGGTACACCTGCACTGGAAAGCGAACCAACCTTTACTAGAAGTGTCAGGTAGGTGGTCAATTTCACACTTGTCACTCATAGGGTTTGGTTGGCTCTCTGACTTTGTTCTTCATTGCTTCGATCATGATCGATGAAACTCTTGTTAAACACCCTTACACATTTTGATATATATCAAGTACTGCATAGATCACTTCAAATCAGAATGCATACAATAAACCGAGTGATTCAAGGAATTGAATGCTCCTTTGATATTATAAACATTCGTCAGTTGAGTAGACAGTGTACATGTATGCAAAACAGACTCAGCTTCTAGGTTCAATTTACTAAGGTATGACCATTTCCAAATAATACAGTGAGTAGAGTTGATATAGTTCTGGGACTTGATTAATTGTATACCATAGCAGTTATCATACACTGTCGTCTGAACAGTTGTTATATTAATGCACTCAGATTTACTGTTTATGGTGTAGGTATACGTATCTGTAGATTTCAGGGGTGTATGAATTAACATAATAATAGTATTTTTAGAAAAAGAGAAAAATAAAAACAATAATTCTCAAATGCTTCTGATTGGCTGGCTGAGAAACTTATCTCTCTTATATTAAGAGAAAGGAAATATTAACCCTCGAGGTAAATAAAGCAGTCCCTTTTTGTTATATTACCAGTATTACCTCTAAAAGGTGTTGAATATTTTTATGAGGGTTCATATTTATTGCCGTTTTTACAAATACTTTGATCCACAATGTCTTTGACAATATTAACAGGCCCAGGCACTGTTAGTAATGATTCTGTTTTGACAATATTAACAGGCCCAGGCACTGTTAGTAACGATTCTGTTTTGACAATATTAACAGGCACAGACACTGTTAGTAATGATTCTGTTTGAAAATATTAACAGGCCCAGACACTGTTAGTAATTATACTGTTTTGGCAATATTAACAGGCCCAGGCACTGTAAGTAATTATTCTGATTTGACAATATTAACAGGCCCAGGCACTGTTAGTAATGATTCTGATTTGACAATATTAACAGGCCCAGGCACTGTTTTGACAATATTAACAGGCCCTGACACTGTTAGTAATGATACTGTTTTGACAATATTAACAGGCCCAGGCACTGTAAGTAATGATTCTGATTTGACAATATTAACAGGCCCAGACACTGTTAGTAATGATTCTGTTTTGACAATATTAACAGGCCCAGGCACTGTAAGTAATGATTCTGATTTAACAATATTAACAGGCCCAGACACTGTTAGTAGTGATTCTGTTTTGACAATATTAACAGGCCCAGACACTGCTAGTAATGATTCTGTTTGACAATATTAACAGGCCCAGGCACTGTTTTGACAATATTAACAGGCCCAGACACTGATAGTAATGATACTGTTTTGACAATATTAACAGGCCCAGGCACTGTAAGCAATGATTCTGATTTGACAATATTAACAGGCCCAGACACTGTTAGTAATAATACTGTTTTGACAATATTAACAGGCCCAGGCACTGTAAGTAATGATTCTGATTTAACAATATTAACAGGCCCAGACACTGTTAGTAGTGATTCTGTTTTGACAATATTAACAGGCCCAGCCAATGTTAGTAATGATTCTGTTTTGACAATATTAACAGGCCCAGACACTGTTAATAATGATACTGTTTTGACAATATTAACAGGCCCTGGCACTGTTAGTAATGATTCTTTTTTGACAATATTAACAGGCCCAGACACTGTTAGTAATGATAATGTTTTGACAATATTAACAGGCCGAGGTACTTTTAGTAATGATTCTGTTTTGACAATATTAACAGGCCCAGACACTGTTAGTAATGATAATGTTTTGACAATATTAACAGGCCGAGGTACTGTTAGTAATGATTCTGTTTTGACAATATTAACAGGCCCAGGCACTGTTAATAATGATTCTATTTTGACAATATTAACAGGCCCAGGCACTGTTGGTAATGATTCTGTTTTGACAATATTAACAGGCCCATGCACTGTTAGTAATGATTCTGTTTTGACAATATTAACAGGCTCAGGTACTGTTAGTAATGATTCTGTTTTGACAATATTAACAAGCCCAGGTACTGTTAGTAATGATTCTGTTTTGACAATATTAACAGGCCCAGGCACTGTTGGTAATGATTCTTTTTGGCAATATTAACAGGCCCAGGCACTGTTAGTAATGATTCTGTTTTGACAATATTAACAGGCCCAGGCACTGTTATTAATGATTCTGTTTTGACAATATTAACAGGCCCAGGCACTGTTAGTACTGATTCTGTTTTGCATATAGTCTGTGTACTTCACTGACTAATGAATGGAAATATTTCACCTTCACTTCTGCATGTTACAAGATTTACAAATATTACACCCAATATACACTTACTATCTGCATGAATACATAAATGGCTGATGTTAAATCATAGCCAAAGTACACATAACCTTAACAGCATTTGATGAAGAAACAAGGCATTGTTAGACATTTGTTCATTTGTTTGATTTGTTAACTGGTGGGAATATGACGCCCTTAGAGGTATATATGTCCTGAAGGGTAATTATAACATGTAATCAATGTAATACATATATTTTCTAATGGTTTGGGTTTTTTATTTATTTTTGTATCAATGAACATATATGATATTAAATCATTCCATCGTTAGGAAATACATCCACTATCGATCATTATTCACTTTTACATAGCTGTGATGGATTAATTCTGTGTGATTAATTTGAATTTTATTATTATTTCCCAGGATTTTTCACCGTGATTCAGCGTTTCTTGGGTATATAGCTGATATATATATTATGTACAATAGTTCTCGACACACAAATTTATTTTTTCGCTTTATCAAGGCTGTTGGTATCCTTTTAGCTGTTAAATGACATCACCTTAAATGGCATCACCTTTCCGCTGACTTTATAACTGTCGTAGAAGCAGGTGCACATAACCCCAGGTCTTATCTTCCTTTAGCTCATTCACCCCTGAAGACACATTTGACCTCTTCCAATTCAAAGGTTGGAATAGTTCATTATGAAATTTCAGGGGTGAATGAGTTAAGTAAAATCTCTCTAGATGTAGAAATGTGTTGATGAGTTTCTTTATTAGATCAGATTATAGTACGCTACTGCTTAGTCTCCTTCTCCTCCTCCGCAATCTAACGAATCATTTCATCATTTTCATGCCTCCCACCAATATACAATGTGTATTAAACATGAACATGATAAATCCTACCGGTTACTTTTTATCTTCTTTTTTTTTCCACAAAATATTCAGGTTTTACCTTGAACTGTACTTTTACTGGTATAATTGCCCACATGACCGCAGCCATACAGCACCTGGGCCCACTATGTCATGTGCATGAACATCTAATTTAATGAGAGCCAAAAAAAAACTAGAACTTCAAATTCATATTCAACAAATCAAAACAAAAACAGACCGTTCATATGCATGAGATTTTTAGGTTTTGTTGGATGTCTATTTCAACTGCCAGAATCATAGACCAGCCAAGGTCAACTTTTAACCATTTATGGTTAAAGTTCCACGGAGAAAGAAAAAAACGATCCCAAATGTCTTAAAATTATCTTCAGGGCTGGAAAATTCACAAATTCACCATCTTTCATAATTGCAATTGATCGTGTCTCTAAAAAACAAATATTTCCTCATTTGTTTTTTTATTAAATATTATATAATAACATCTTTTTTCTATTCTATATGTTCAAAATGTAAGCCGGCTGAGCAAGTTGATATCGACAAGCTTGTCAGAATGAATAAATCTCATTTACTTCCTTGTAGAAAATTGTTCCTAAACTGTCAGAACTTCTGAAAGAAATTTTCACTAATGCATATATCGTTTGTCAGATATTTGTTCTGTTGATGGCCCATTGTTCCATACATGCCCAAATAGCATGCAGTTCCGCTGAAAATCCTTTTCACTGTGATGATCCAATTATCCTTTGAGTGTACGTACGTGTAATGTGTTAGTGACAAACCTATTATCTGTTACATTGACAATACATAAACCCAGACAGAAATGTTTCCGTGAGGTTAGATTTAGAATTATGATCGTATAGAACCTTCAATATTACCAAATAATTTTCCCTATTCATGGTGTGGTTTAAGTGTTGAAAGCTTTTCCAACACAAAGAATTTGGGAAAGTGTGACTCATTTTCAAAATGATAACATGATATACACTATCTTCATAAACATGGGACATGGAATGCCCAAACCTCTGAACATCCGAACTGGACAAGGACAAGTGGTCACATACAGGGGACATCTGGACAAATATAGAACGGCTGTGATAGGTGGTTAACAATTAACATTTTATTGTATTGTAAAATTATTGATCACAGATACTGTTACGCTGGTGTCCTGAGATATAAAATATTTATGTTGTAGAAAACATGCAACAACATATTCACCTGTTTGTTCAATGAATGAGTCCAACACAATTTCACCCATTTTACACCTCCATTATATATTTCTGTAGCTGCTAATTTGTGCTGTATTGGGAATAAATTCATGTCAGCACCACCACCTCCCGGAGACAACCGTGTAACATAACGAGGTTATTTACACCTGTTCTTATTCTCACCTTTACCTGGGTTATTGATTATTTGTTCACCTGACTTTCATCATCATCATCCACAGTGCCATTGACCCGTTCACCTCTGTTGATGTTGTAGTCTTCAGGATCCCAACACTTGTATTCACAATTGGTCCAATTAATTAGTCCAATTAATTACTATTTTAACGTAACTGTTACTGTACTTGTTTTAGTATCTTCTTTCACATAGTGGTGTCTTTTAGCTTCTCCGTTCTATATTTCATACCTAAACTGAAACTGAAACTAATTTGATAAAATCCTCACCATCCTTTTGTTTAATGTCCTATTTGATTTTTAAAGCCACATGTATTTTCTTTGTGCTTTAGGTTACTTCTCCTTTGATTTTTTGTATATATATTTCCTGGTGAAGGGTATACGTAACCACTGGTCGTGTTTTATTTGGTTCTCTATTGTATATTTTAGTTATTAGTGTAACAATTATACCATCTGTTTGATTCTTGTTGCTATTTCTACAGAATTTTGATCTTCTATAGATCTTTTTTATACTGTAAACAAATTTATTTTAACACTGTCCAGTTTCGGCGTATTATTGAACTTTGACTGATTATAGGACATTGATGAAACTGTGCACCCACCATCTCACTATACATGTTATAGAAAACTACATACACTTACTTGCCATCTCTCCCTATTTAGGAGGGAGACTCCTCATTTTGGACCCTAAAATTTAGCATTTTCAACCAGTGAATTGGCTAAACTTGTCCTATATTTTAAGATCTAATTAATTCATCTGAGAAAAAAAAATCAAAATTTTGTCTCTAGGTTGGGTTTTTTTGAGCATGTGTAATCTCCCCCAGGGAAATTTCAAAAAGTTGGCAAGTATGCCTACAGAAACTTTAATTAGCTCAATCATAATTATTGATTTTAAGCACAGTATTTAAAGCTCTAAAATAAGATTTTCACTAAATAGGTCTGTTTACAGTAATCTTTAAATTATTTCTTAATTATCTTTCTCTGGGTTTTATGCTTAATCTTATACCTTATTTTCATATTTCATCTGTGTATATTGTGTTACATTTAGCTGGTTTTTTTTGTATATTTATACATATATGCAGTTAATGATCCTGCTGTTGTAGTAATGCTAATCCATAAACTTGCATGAAAATATATTTGTACATCTAACATGTTGCTGGAACAGATCAAAGGAAGGAGACCTTGAAAATTGATACAAATTGAAGGTTCATGTGAAAAAATGTTAGCAATGGGAAAATTAATTTTGGTAGATTTCATGTTACATGTAAACACATATGTGAAGTTATTTTTGAAAAAGACACTTTAAACTTTGAAAAAAATTGTCATATAATAATTATTTTGTATCATTTTTTGAGTTCCAATTTCTTCTTTGATTGGAGATCACTTTTTTGTCTGTGTTACGACATCAAAGCCGTCTGAAAAATCGGAAAGTTAAAGCTGTTACTGTAATGTGATTGTGAGTCAGAGATGGGTACATGTCGTGATAGACATTTAAGTATCAAAATGTTAGCATATATTTATTCAGTATCTTTTGCCTGCATGTGTTAGCTTTCATACCCTTCAGATATGCTGTTATATCCTTTCATATAATATGTTTGATGAATTCATTATTCTTATACATATTCTGTATCAGATGCTCAAGAGATATTCTAACTATCTTTATATTAAAAATTGTATCACCATCTAACCTTTATGAGTTGGTATAGAAATGGTTTCAATTTAAAGTTTGTTGATAAAATTCCTATGAAACAGAGTAGGAGAAATGTACTAAAAGTGAAACTTATGTATTTAGTTAATTGGACAGATTGCATTTAAGAGATTCAAGCTTTAACAGTTAGACATGTACACTCTATTATTTTTACATTTCTTAACAGTAATTGCCATTTCTCTCTAGAAAAGATAGAAATTTCCATCCAAAACATATTAAATGATTTTAAAGTTATAAAAGGATACAGATTATATCAGTTTTGCCTGTTCACTAGAAAAGATAGAAAATCTCTTACCTGTACATTATACTATATAATTATCAAATGATTTGTTATTTCTTCTCGATCCTATGTATGATTTTGTTTATTCCTTCAATAAGCTCTTAGTTTCATATTTTCTGTAGATGTGTATAAACACCCAAATACTTATATGAACCTGGTCTCTATACCTATACTATGTCTAGACGTCCCTTTGACCGACCCTAATATTTGAAAAACTCGAATAAAATCGTCAGTCGTGAAATACTTCAAACAAACCCTGAGGACCACCCATGTCAAAACTGTGCCAATGTGAAAATCCTTCAGTATAAACATTGTTAATGAATTTTCTTTTGTCTCTTTTAGCAATTTAGCAAATGCATCATATTCTGATTTGGGAGGCTCTGTGAATGGGCTTTCTGCTGTGGGAGTGGAAATTCCAGAAAAGCGAAAGACAATTCTAAACATTTATTTGCTGAATCTACATTCACCTATGTTAATGCTCATCCGAAGTGCCTGGAGTAATTACCTTATTGTAAGTATACAGTGTTATCCGACCTCGTACACGACCTCGTACACGACCTCGTACAACCTTCCCGGTTGTGAACCCCGATCACATAGTCATCACTGTATTACTGTTTCATGTGTAATGTAATTAATGGCTGAGATGTAGAACCCACCACTGCTAGGGACCTGTACGTGGCTCCATGGGCCAGTTATTAATTCGGATTGAAAGTTGGATTTTGGGTTCAGTACCGTAATTGAATGGCACATTGTGATTTATCATGTGATTTTGGTGTCCAGTCTTGTTGGTTCATATGGCAGCTCTTGATCATTTGCAGTGAAAGAAATGCAAAGATCCCCACACCACTATCAAAAACTGTAAAGGTCCCCACACCACTATCAAAAACTGTAAAGGTCCCCACACCACTATCAAAAACTGTAAAGGTCCCCACAACACTGCCAAAAACTGTAAAGGTCCCCACACCACTGCCAAAAACTGTGAAGGTCCCCACACCACTGCCAAAAACAGCAACTACACTTTGGAAACTGTTTTAACCAGCAATGTCTAGCTTTGACAAATTATTTCTGAAAAGAAAACCATACCTTGCGGTACTTTTATGAAAGAATATCAAAGATGAAATAAACAAAATGTTACCAACGACGGTGTTCTGTGTGTAAGATTCAGCGGGTCTGGACTGGGATGCCAACCGTGAACTTCAGATCGTCAAATTATTGCTCAAACTGACTGAGCTGTTTGTATGGTGAACAGCAGTGTCCTGGCCCAGCTGTGCAAAACAAAAAGAAGGGGAGGTTACTGTGTATACAAAATAAAAAGCACAGTGCACAGTGGGATATGGACCCTTAATTGTGATATATTTATATTATAAGATAATGCATTTGAACATATCATCTGCAGAAAGTGTTATTTAAATCAACCAAAACACCTATATTGTATGTTAGATGAAACATGAAATTGTTTCTCATAGGAGTCGTTCAAGTAGCTCATGTAAAACTGACGGGTTGTTTACTCACTCCTAAATCAGGAGGAATGTTTCTGTCATTATGACAGGTAGACAGCACCTAACATTGTATTATTTTGACTACCAGTATAAACACAACTGGTGGCCCATACTATATAGTTTATTTTGTATTCATTACACAATGTGTTCAGGGACTGCTCAGAGAGAGAACTAAGAGAGTTTATGGGCCTGGGGTTTTAAAAAATGCATCTGATTTTGACATGAAACAGGTCTGAGTCAACTGAAGAATATTAAAAGCATTGTCAGCCTAATCTTGTTTCAGAATACCTGTAACATGTCAACTTACCTTGAAATTCTCATTCTGTCTGGAAATACATTGTACTTGTAACGTTGGACCAAGGAGAAACTATTTGTGGGAATACTTTTTACAGGATTGAATTGAAATTGTCAGTCTAAATCATTTTAGGAGAACCTGTTACAGGACTAAATGAAAAAAGTCAGTCAATCTTAATAAAATTAGATCTTTGCATACCCGTTTACTGATATGTCCATTCCACGGGGAAAGTAAATTGAAACGATGTAAAGATCTGATTTCAATTAGATCAAATTATCATTCTATATTGGGATTCAATGTAGGAATACCTGTTACAAAACAAAGTTGAAATTGGTTAGTCTGATTAACATAACTAGATATTCAGTAGGGAAACATTGAATCACTAGTGTGTACAAGTGCCACAAGCATTATCCTACCAATGGAGTTCTGACAATTCTTGTGTGCCAGGAATAGGGCATCCTCGATATCCAGGGGTTACGCTCACATTCGCTCTCTACAGCGTAGGTGATCGTAACCCCTGTAAATCGAGGATGGGAACAGGGAGGGGGAGGGGGGATATTTTACCACTAACATAAGATTTTTTTTTTTTTTTTAGGTTTAATGCACAGGATTTTGATTTGTATAAACTTGAGAAGTTGTAGTACATAGTACATGTGTATTGAGAAATGGAAGGAGTTGGGGCCGTGGTTCTTGTTTATAGTTTTACCAGAAAATGGTGATCTTTGGAATAAAGGAGTTCTTGTACACCTTTATAAAAGTTTAATAAATTTACCTGCGTCTTTTAAGAACATATAAATAAACTTTATTTATTGTACAACAATTATGAAAAAGTTATTCAGACTTATATATTAATCCCGTACCCTTGTTTGCCTGGATATTAGCGGGCTGGGGGTGTTAATGTGGGAGGAAACCAGAGTACTGGGAGAAAACCCACAAGTAGTTTTAGGTACATGTTTACTGAGAATATGGATTTTAATGATGACCTAGTTGTACACTGCTTTATCTATTCACTGTTAAGGGTAAGCTGTCCTCATTCAAATCTATATGCAGGATTGATTTTCAGCAGTGTGTATTCTGCCTTTTTGATTTTATTTATTGGGTTGTACCTCAGTTTTGTCTGTCTATATTGTGTATGAGATTAAACTATATGACACTATAGATTAGTGTAGGTATGTGGCAGTAGATGATTTATCAACCCACCTTTCCTGAGCATATTAAAACACAGTGTCATATGTCAAATTACTTTGAATATGAGTCAGGAAATCAAGAACTGGTACCTTGTATATCATATATCAAACTGTTCATATAGTTAATCTCTCCAAGGGAAAATTGAAATATTTGTTGAGGATAAGAAGGAATTATATTTAAGTTCTGTCAAAATCTTTGATTTAAAACCCAATGACAGGTGAAATTTCACTCAACACAATAAATTCAGCCGTTGTTGGGAATTTCCCTTTCTATGAAAGACCATTTATCCTGTTCAACAACTACTGCTGTGTTATAGGTTTTGGCTGATAAATTGGAGCTATACTGCACTTAATGAGATATTATTGGAGTTATTTATGATAACATGTGAACTTCAAACAAACACTTACATTGTTACTATAGCTGTGAAAAGCAGATTTCCCAACCTGTACATGCTCCACATGTCATTAAGTGCTGCCTTGCCAGCGTATCAGGAAAGTCCTTAAGAATGTTCTCAAATTTATTATAGGATGGTCTTTGTATTTAGATATTTAAAATGAATAACACAGTGTTGTGCCTTCTTTCAAATTTTTCTTCAAATCAAATAAAATTACTGTGGAATACAGTTATAACATACCAGAGGGATCTTACTTTATTGACATGGTTATAACATTAAACTTCAGGGGAGATAACTCTACAGTAAAACACATTTATAACAGAACCCAGGGTCCATAACTCTACAGTAAAACACCTTAAAAACAATTAACTTCAGGGGCCATAACTCTACAATAAAATACCTTTATAACAAAACCCAGGGGCCATAACTCTACAGTAAACACCTTAAAACAGAACCCAGGGACCCAGGGACCATAATTCTACAGTAAAACACCTTAAAAACAGAACCCAGGGGCCATAAATGACTTTAATGCATGGTCACAAAAATCTACATGGTCCATAACTCTACAGTAAACACCTTAAAATAGAACCCAGGGGCCATAATTCTACAGTAAAGCACCTTAATAACAGAACCCAGGGGCCATAATTCTATAGTAAAACACCTTAAAAAACAGAACCCAGGAGCCATAATTCTACAGTAAAACACCTTAATAACAGAACCCAGGGGCCATAACTCTACAGTAAACACCTTAATAACAGAACCCAGGGGCCATAATTCTATAGTAAAACACCTTAAAAAACAGAACCCAGGAGCCATAATTCTACAGTAAAACACCTTAATAACAGAACCGAGGGGCCATAACTCTACAGTAAACTCCTTAATAACAGAACCCAGGGGCCATAACTCTACAGTAAAGCACCTCAATAACAGAACCCAGGGGCCATAACTCTACAGTAAAACACCTTAATAACAGAACCCAGGGGCCATAATAACTTTAATGCATGGTCACACAAATCTACAGGGGACGTAACTCAAAATTATGTGTATAACACAGCCCAAGTGACGTAATCCTGTAGTATTAAAACAATGTAATAACCAGACCTGAGGGTACTAAATATACAGTCAAATATAACTCATAAAAAATATCATTATAACAAACTCCAGGGGACATAACTCTACATTGAACATTGTTTGTAACAAACCTTGAGAGACCATACTGTTAATTAAGTGCTACATGGGTACATCAAACCTAAGAGTTTCCTTGTCTACTCCAGGGGACATAACTGTACATTAAACATTGGTTGTAACAAACCTTGAGAGACCATACTGTTAATTAAGTGCTACATGGGTACATCAAACCTAAGAGTTTCCTTGTCTACCCCAGGGGACATAACTGTACATTAAACATTGTTTGGAACAAACCTTGAGAGACCATACTGTTAATTAAGTCCTACATGGGTACATCAAACCTAAGAGTTTCCTTGTCTATTCCAGCGCCTAACCATGATGTTAGATCCTGAGTATGAGAAAGTGTTCAAGTCCAGTGTGGTACGAGGTTCACATAATCAGAGGTAAGTAATTGTCTCCCAGTTATAGATTCTACCTACCAGTGGATGTGATGGAACTTCTCAAGTTTCCATACTCTCACTTTTGGGAAAATCTAAGTAATGGTAAATTAACGACACATTCCTACGGTATACAAATGTACATGTAGTGGATATTTCCTTAGGGTTTTATTGTCATTATATTTAAGGTAATTAAGGTATTATGTTGAGAAATTTATTTTTTTATTAAATATTATGTTCTTTTTGTTGGTAGTCAAATGTGATTTCTCAAGCTCTTCTAGTCAGTTTAAGACTGGATTATCTGTTAGACAAGTGAAGTGAAAACTTGTTAGTGTTTTAGTCTTATTCACACTGTCACAAAAATGTCTGTCAAATAACAAAGGTTTGGCCAGATAATTATATAAAACAGTCATATTGCAGTGCTTGTATAAATATACAGGTGTGTAGACAGAACTTCAAAGTCAGTAGCTGTGCATGATTGGAGGTTGAAGGTGGAGGGCACAAATTAGCAAAAAATTATAAAATAACACCATATCCCCCTTGAAAATGGAAGCTAAAGAATGGTGATATTGGATCAGCGCCCGAGATAAACAGACTTTAAATAACTTGTGAATAAAGGGTTCAGTGACCTGTAGAATAAGTATTAAGTAGGCGATATATATTTATAGGTGTTAAATGTCTCAAATTAGATACTAAACTACATCATATAAAATTTCATTTCATTTAAAAGGGACCATAGATGACTTATAAAGTGTAGCTGTATGTAAATAGGTGTCCGTGATAGAACTGTTACAGAGGCTCGGTTAACTAATGTCCGTCCAGGGTGATCAAACTAGGTCATCGAGACTGTCAGCAATAACCGATTTACATTATCATACGCCAGTATTCTGGTGTCACAAATATAGACCTTGAACAGTAACACAACAGTTACGGTATACCTCTAACGACTTTTCAAGATTTATGTTCAGAATTTATTTCTCTGATCTTTGTATTAAATTTTAAGATAAGCAGGCTTCATTTAAAAAGGGTTTAAGAAATTAATGAGATTTTTAACTTTGTTCACAGCAAACTTTATTGGTCACCTGGCTTTGTTTTCAAACAATATAGATCCTATATTATTTATGATATCTAAATTTAAGGGTACATACCTGTACTGCGTGATACAGAAAGACCTGATTGAATTATTGGTGACTAAATGTTATTCAGGACCAGATACGAAAATTATCTGCAAACATTTTGTAAATAAACCTCAACTTACCTTGGCTGTAATTATGAATATTGAATACAGCTATAAATGCAATTTAGATTCAAATCTCAAAACAAAATAGTTAGCCGGGTCTCCATGCTTAACTAGATAGGTGTTGGGAACAAAATGATTGAATACATTTTAATCAATTCACACGTACATTTATTGGTTCATCAAGTCCAAGAAACTGCTAAAAATATTTTAGTTAAAAATGAAAAAAAATGAAACTGATATCCTAATTAAGTTCTAAGTGAAAATAAGAGAATCAGGTGGTGCTGATACAAAGTAATTGACATTATTTCTATGTTTTCCTGCATGATTTAATTTAAATTTGAATTTAAAAGGCTCTAATTAATCTCCACACTTAAACAAGATTGCAAATATATAACATTATAGTAACTCACTTTTGTAAATTACATCATAGAAATTGCATGGAAATCTTCAATAAGTTTGACCTGCTTTTAGTTTCATAGTTGAGACCAGGGAATTATCTTTTTATAAACAAATTGATGACCACCTATTAGTAGATCAAAGTTATTGTGTGTATTTTAAGGAACTTTCATACAGTCACATGTGGTGTGAATGATTTGGCGGTGATCTTGTGTTGTTGTGCCATTTGGCAGCAATACACTTATAATTACACGTAATGACAGCTATGTATTGGTTATTTCTATCGCTATAGTCCAAATATTGAACATCTTTCTTTATTAAAGGGTATTTTTGATAAGAAATTACACTAATTTGTTAAGTGACACAAATAGTCAATATCTTGTACAAATTTTGATGATTTGTATTCCTTTGGAAACACAAAGAACTATTCCAATACAATGTGTGTATTGCATGCAGAATGTCTATAGCTTGATTATCTATGTAGATTGGTGCTATTTATACACCTATTTGGTATATGTAAGTGTAATTGTTGTGTAAGGGTAATCTGGGTAATTGAATCAATCTTCCTAACAATTATACCTAGTTTGAAACATCAAGATGTCATGTCTGGTGTGTTGATCGTAAGAGTCTGTGGATGTTGATAAGCAAACTGTTCATGGCTTTATCCCAAACAGGTAAATTCATGTGATAAACACTTAATATAACATTTGTGTTTTATCTGGGTTCACGTTCAGTAGCTCTTGTACAAGTTCAACTTTAGACTCATAAAGAAACTAACTCCAACATGTCTCCTCTACAAAAATTTAAAGTGATGTACTACCCGAGAGAAGCCACACAAGGCCCACTCCATTTTCACTCAACTGTCACCCAAAACACCATTAAGCTATGGGTGGGCACTTTACTTGATTGGAAAATATGCCACACAAGCTGACTGCCCAAATCAAGCTTGCTCACCTTGTTTCCCTTTTCCGTACCCCTCGATTTCCTTTACACAACATGTTTTTATATTAAGCATCTACATATAGTTTACACCATGGATTTTCTTCATTTTAAAATGAATTGTCACTAACATTTGGAATTAAGATATAGATATCACAAACTCGTTTTCAATACATCAGGTAGATGACTTAACACTGTTCTTCGTAGTTTGATGATCACCTACTCAATTAAATTGGAGTGGGGATACACAAACGGGTTCTGTGCCTTCATGCATTCCGTCAGTCCATCTCTGATCAATCAGTTTTGGAGCATGTCTAAAATAAATGTTACAGATTTGGCTTCAAACATCCTACATAAGTCATACAAAGGGGTGCCTTTTGATATTCATAAGTTTCTAGTTTTAAGGTATTCCAGTTGTATTTGAAATGACACCCAAGATACGCGTATTTTGGTGTTTCCTATATATCTCAAAACCTGGTATGGGTTTGATCAAACTTCACACAAGCGTCAATAAAACGACAGAGAGGTGCCTTTTGGTATTTTCTTTTTTCTGATTCCAGTAAATGTTTGAGTTGTCATGGAAACGCTTGATTATAATGTTATTGTTGATTCAAAGTTCTGCAGTATTGCAAGTAAACATCTACAATAATCACATATCTATCACCATTTACAGGTTAACTCTGTCATAATTTGAGGAGTACAACTCTGACAGTCATAACACAATGCGAGGATAAGACCGTACATGTTATAGGGATCTGTAGCGATGTCACTCAGTTTTGTTACATTTATACTTTTAAATGTTTTGGTTTTACAATTAACACAGGTCTGAGAAGAAAAAGAAAAGGTGTGTTATTCAGTGCACAGTTTTATTTACAATTAGTCCTATCTTTATTAATATCGCCTCAGTTTCATTTCATTTATAAAGTATTATAGCTGTACACTTTCTGCTTTCGTTGTGAACTTTTAATAGGCAGGAACTGGGAAAAGATTCCTGCACATTAACAACATCTCAAAACATCGTAGATACTAACGCCTGATTTCAGGGATTTGTACCATACTCGGCAAACGACAGATTTGTACACTTTTATTTCTCCTTTGTTGGGGACAGATTTGTACACTTTTATATCTCCTTTGTTGGTGACATTTGAGGGAAAATATTTTGTAAAAGATGTCGCCCTAAGGAGTGAGCTACAGTCTATGATAATATCTCAGAATAGAGTTCTGTGTTGATAAGGATATTGATTAATGTTATCTACTTACATATACCTAAACATTAAACAGATTCTAGTCTGACCTGAGTTAATGATACGTACAGGTGATATGTACAGGTAAATATTGTGTCTATTAAGCTAGCTTACATACAGCTGGGTAGGAGATTAATGCAGGTACTACAGTAATACAATCTAGGACTGCACTGATATTCTAATTACGGAAAAGTCACGCATACATGTATAAGTTAGTCACTGACAGGGACAGTATTGTCTTAACAATTTGTAGACTAAATTACATCATCTGTAATAATAGATACCAATGACCACCAGGTATATGAAGCTACCAGTCAGTTCAGTAAATTTGTGTAAGCTAATTGATTATTTACATTTTTGCCTGATTTATTTGATTTCTTCAGTTTAAGGATTTTCTGTCAGTCTGTTGATAATGACATGGTGTCTCCTTGTTGATATTCCTGTCCAAGTTTTGTGAAGGTGACGGCTTTTGTTTACCGTGTTTTGCTGTCCATGCTACTGTCTGCAGTCTTATAAACATCCAATTAACAACTTCCTTTGTGGAATATAAACATCCAATTAACAACTTCCTTTGTGGAATAGAGTCATTTATCCTAAATTATGTAAATCACAAGCTACTTATGTACTACATACAGCAGTTTGGATCATAACTCTATATCTGACATGTAGCCAGAATCTTATAATTCAAGTTATAGTGCATTAGGTGCTACAGAATTAATGTTTTATGATATTTCACAAGTCACTGTAATACATTTGAACTTTGTAAGTATAATTGATAAAATCTAAGGTTAGGCCAGACAAAAACAATATGTGTGTTTCCTGTAACATGTTAAAAACATTTAAGGTAAGTATCAAGTTTTAATTTTAAAAATAATTTTACCGGGTATATGGTTTATAGAGTGATCTTAGCTTTAACAGTGCTTCTTTGAAAATTGCCCTAAATAGTTTAGGATAGGCACAAAGAATAAGGGAAGGTAGGGTTACCGGAAACACCAAATATTTTTTGTTTGCCCTTATTTGTGACATTGGTTGACATCTATTACTGATCAGTTACTCATTCAAGGTATATAATAATTATATACATGTATATATTTATGCTGAGTTTCCCACTCAGGTACGTGTTTGTAAGATGGAGATATACATTCTGCCAGTATGGAATGTAACATCTATCCACCCGCTTCATTGGCAAAACCTCGATTTCAGATCAAGAAATTAGAAAAAAAACTTCTTCCATTAGAATAAGTTTACTTTATTAATATTTTTAACATATATATCGTTTTGTGTTATCTACACATTTAGCTTGTAATTAGTTATCAGTAATGTAGCCAGCTGTTTTAATCACTTAATATACCTGTATTATAAAAGCTAGCTTTTCCTGATCTATCGACTGTGGTATATCTTCTTTGTTTGTATATGTGTGTATATTAACTGTTACTAACATTAGGTCGTGAGTAAAAAGACTTAATTAGTTACATTTCATAATACAACTGTATTATTATAGCGACATATATTCATATATATTTAAGTTTCCTTATTTATATATAGACTAGCTGTAGCATATTATTATTTTCAATACTTCAAAGTTTTAAGCCTGATATTTGATTATGCAGTGTTTTTACATGACCTTAAAAAATAGCTAATACAATTGTATATCAGTTATTGTATTTTTGTTTTAATGTAAGTGGTTGATAATTAGTTACATGTAGTTATGAATCAAGATTAGATGTTTTGCTGTTCTGTTTGTTAGACTTTCCACTAGTGTTACAAGCTATAGGTATGTATGTTCTATTAGCCATTGTCCCTGTGTGGTCCAGTCATCTCTCTCTATCACACACGTTCGTAGAGGGTGTTGTTGCACCTTCCTTTCAGGCGGATATAAAACTTCTGTCTTTCAGCTCAAATATGAAAATTGCAGACGAATTATAAATTATAGTCTTAATTATATATATTTTTCTCAAAATGGCTAACAAATAGGTGTGCTGACAGCAAGCATTTTATCATCTTGAAAAATAAATTAATAAAAAAAAGGCAAAAATACACTGAAATTGGCGTGTTTGAGGATTATACAATATGTACTGTAAATTCAAATTTAGGAATACATCAACATGTCTTGAAAATGGACAAAAACTCACAAAACTGAGTTTTTGAAATAGAGCTTTGAGGGGGAAAATAAAAAAGTAAATGAAATAACATATGAGATCATCTTACCTTATAATTGTTTCAGAGCCTAAAAGGGATACATAATTTTTGAAATAAATTTCACTTTCAAATCTTCAATGAAACACGACACTCATTCCATTTTATGATGTCCTTCACAAATTTTAATTTTTGTTAATTTTTTCCTCCAAATTTTGAAATCAATATAATTAATTAGCATGCTCAATTGCCAAAATGAATTTTGAAAATATCAAATCTTTCTGATGATCTGCTTGTATGACAGTTAAAGTATTTGATATTTTTAAATGTAATCTTCAAGAAATATTTTATAAATGATGACAAATAATTCAGTTATCACTTCGGTGTATTTTTGTAAAATTATGAGTAAAGAATCGACAAAGAGACAGACCCGGGAACTGTGTTATTGTCTGATATTGTGTTTAATGTTAATTAGAAATCTTCACTTTTATGCTTTGTGTCTATTTTGTGGGATTGTAGCTTTAAATTTGTAATGTTGTCACATCTTTTTCTAAGGTAATACACCATTTGAATCCTGGCATAAAGTTGTTTTATTTTCAAAATATTTGCTTTTACCATCACATCCTAAACAAATTGAAATTGATAAGATTTCTGATGCAAAACATTGTTACCAGGTAATTTTTGATAAAATAACAATATATTATTATTTTATCTACAATTAACAATATTTGAACCTTGTTCTATGTATACAATATTTTACTTTATATGTATATACGGAAATCTTAATATTTCAAGTGATTTTCGGCTAGGAAACCTACTCCCTATATTCACAGAATGCAGATTTGAAATTGATGCTTTTAGATTTTTTAAACCCCAGTAAGATTTCTCATCACTTGAAAATTTAACTTGATTTTACAATAATTGTGAAACAAGTTCTATCAACTTAATTAAATCACTTTTGTTGGCCTGGGTAGTAGTGTGCAGGGGAAACCTTAGCCCCCTCTGACCCTAACACCAGACTTAGACATTTTGACATATGGATGTCTGGTGTGGAAAAATGTCTACGTCTGGTGTTAGGGCCAGAGGAAACTCGGGCTAGGGAAACCTGATTACTCAGAGAAGATCAACCTTGGTGGCTGGGCAGGTATCTTATACCTTTACACTTCTAATCAAGAAATTGAACCCCGGCCATCTTGGTGAATGTCGAGTGCACCATCCACTGCATCACCTGACCGTCCTTTCATCACCTGCTATGGGTTGAAATATTAACTAGGGACTCGGCACATAGAAGTAGTGTGCACTTAATGTGTGGAAATATATTGGGCATAAAATCTTTAACTCCAGATCCCAACCTATTGAAATAGTCATGGTCAAGTTTCATTGTGAAGTAATGGTGTTTAAACACGAAAATCTATTAATATAAGACCCGTAAATAGGTTAAGGTACCACAGATAATTATGGATATTAATATAACTATTTAGTGATCTTTTAATTCACTCTAAACTATTATAAATCATAAATATATTTACCTTAGGTTCTTCACATGGGTGTTGTGATCTGTGTTTTTAAGATGCTTGTATGTCTTGTTTATTTCAACTGCTTTAGACATTTGAATTTTACATTTCTGGATAGAATATGTAAATTATGCCACAATTTAAATAACTTTCTACCTTCAATCCATTTTGCTTTCAGTTTTAATAATTTCACAATTTTGCTTATCGATACACATAGCCATACATTGCAGATGATTAATATCAGGTGTTTTATTATCGTAGAAAGAAAAGCAAAGATTTGTATTTTTGTCATATTTTTCTTAATTAGATTGTTCACATCATAATGGTACATGTGCTAACAAAATGTATTAATTTTCAGAAATATTTGAAACATGAATATGTAACAATCACGGCTTGATATGTAAATTATTGATGATATAATGTAAATTAATGCAAAAACTTTGGATCGTTTATTATTGTATTTGTGGCCAGCAGACATTGCATATTATTAAAGGACCATTAACAAGCTATACCAAACTGTTATTTCCTACATGAGACATACTCGGGTAAACAGGAAGCTGATAGTTGCCATAGTAGTTGACTTACAATAAAGTCCACAACCCTCTGTCAGCTGGCTGGGTAGGCACACAAAGGTTTCAGACTGAAATGAAAACTGCTTGAATTTGAAACCAGTGCATACAAACTGCTTGAATTTCACTGTAAACTTTTTTTCCCTTGACAACGGCTTGCATTGTGGAATGTTTGTTTTAATTTCATATAATGCTGCTTTAGTCTTTTGTTTTATTTTACTGAGTAATCAGAAAGCCAATTTCTATGCAAATCTTCTAAATATCACTCTGTCTTATGTTAAAAAACCCCACAAAAGATACCCAATTTTTTACCAGAACTTTTATTATATGATTAGGTTAATCATTTGTATGTACACTGAATCTGAGGGTATAGTTTGTTGT